CCCTATTGGCCCTAATGCCGTCCTACTAGCTACTCTCCTCGAATTAGTCGTCATGGCAGTATCAATTCTGCAAATGGCTTACGCCTCAAATGTTTTAATTCGAGGACATAATCATAAATTTGAACATTAGCAATATTAATAATGAATATCAACTATATTGGGAAATACACAACAAAGAAATAGATAACAATGCTCCATTTATTTCCAGCCAAATTTATTAATTTGTAATTAAAAAAATGGAAAATCGTCATTCATTGAAACTGATTAAGGTTATTTATTTCCTTTTGTTTCCTCACTACCGAAGGTAGGGAAGCATTGTATTCGTGTGTGCACAAAACAAAATTTGTGCTCAGAATCGAAAATTTTCACTCGCGTTTTACGTTTCAGACATAAAATTTGGTTTGGTGGCAGTCTGTCTGTCTGTAGTCAAATTGATGTAACGGGCACTACTACCGTTTATCCAATTTTCATGAACTTTTCAGAAATTCTGCGGGTTGGTGTCTGGATGGCCCAATATCAATTTTATTAAATTCTAACCAGCACTTCCGCTTTCGCACGCGCAAATATATTTTAGTAGATATGCCAATATTTCAGAAGCGGCTTCTTCGATTTGGCTCAAAGTTGGATAAAAGATAGGTTTTGTGAAAAAATAACGTAGGGTCAATGTTATTGAATTATGTTTATTGATTTCTCTCAAATATGCGCAAACGTGTTTTCCTTGTACGTTTGATCTCTAAAACCACAAGTTATAAAATTTGAGGTTTTATTCGAAAAATTAATTGATAATGTATTGTTTGGTCGATTCCAAACATTACTGGCATGACACTTACTGTCTTACTTAGATTTTGTGTTATAATCAGTAAATTTAAAGTAATTTTTACTCTGAATTTGTAAACAAAAAAAAGTTTTATTTGTATGATTGCGTTTATTTCCATTGAAGTTCAATAAGTTCGCCTTGGTCTCGATTTCATCCTTAAATATAGAAGCTGTGTGAACTTAATTAATTTTGTTCTGACTGAAGAAAAGTATTGGTCTCGTTAACTCCGAACAAACAACAAGTTCAATTTTTCCTATGTATTTTCTGGTTCCATCCATCCGAACTGAAAGCATACCTATTAAGTATATATCACTACTATTACTGCAAAAGGCTTTATGTAAAAAAATTCAACTTTTATTCTATTTGTGCTAAAGGTGATATTTTGAAGTCTGCAACTGATATAAGTAGTGTACTATGGAAAATATCAGGGGACAATGAAATATGAAATTATACCAATAAAGCATAATGAAATAATGCGTTTTTATATACGACCTTCTGCACTATCAGAAGTGAAATGCACGTTCAGTATGCATTGTTTTTTTGTTTTTTTTTTAGTTAAGAATAATCAATATGAAATCTTCAAATATGGCACTCTTTTGCATTTTAGTATTGGCTGATAAACGAAATTCGTAGATATCAAACCCGGGAATGTTGAAGGGTAACTGTATTTCCCAATCGGCTTCACCCAGAGATTTATTCTTATATGAAAAATGTTATGCCTTGAATATAGATATCTTTTAGCCAATGAAAACGGTGAGGAAGCTATACTGACCTTACTTGGCAGACGTTTCTTCTGTTGGTATTACAGACCTTGTAAATATTTCGCCTCCTTAACAATCCTTCCTCATTTATTCACATCATAGCCAATTTCTTTACAGTTATCTTCATGCAGCTGTTTCTTTCAAAAAATACCGAACCAATTATTATCAATAAAATCAACATTCCGTCTTTTGCCTAATATTAAGACATTCATTGTTATAGGCTTCCAGATAAATAGTTCCAAACATCAAGCTTCGCCAATCTTAACCTCCTTGCCTTTATACAATGAAATATTGATTGCTCAGTTTCTCAGTTTCTGTAAGCAGTTCTGTAGGGATCTTTGGCTATTCGATCTCCATCTGCTAGTACTCTGATCCAGATCGCTCTGATTATCGAACGGAGGATTTTTCTCTCGAATTTTTTAATACTTTTTTCTAGGACGCTAGTTATAGTCCAGATCTAGCAGCCGTATAGCAGAACTTTATCATAGCATTGTATACCCTTAATTTGAGATTTCTTGGAATTTTCGGGATTTCAATACCTTTGAAATAGAGATGAAAGCTCTGTTTGGGCTTGTTACACGCTGGTCTATAGTATATAGAATCGTTGGTTATTCACTGATGTTACTGTGGAACCGAGGTACTGGAGATTAGATTATTATGATAAAAAAAATCCTATTTTTTTCAATTCATATTTAGAAGGATTATTAGCGTTAAACAATGTTGTTGGGATAGAGCTACTATTTTTCCTCTCACCCTGTCATATTTAAATAAAAATATTTAGTTCGAAATATATTCTGTTAGCTTTTATGAATGTATGCTTATAAACTAGAGCTGATAGAGGTTTGCCGGTATCGTATTTGACAAAGCGTATTTGATTGCGCTATGGTATAAATTCTATTAGATCTCAAATGTTTTGATAGATTTATTTGAATAATAATAACAATACAATCTGGCACAATCTAGGGCATTTGGTGTTATGGCTCTGTACTTACTTTCATTCTTAATATACAAATTAAAATACAATGTAAAAAAAGAAATAAGAAGTAAAATAACTAAAAATATATACATTATAAGTATACTAAAAATACTTGTAAAAAGCAAAAAAAATCATTTCAATATACAATATTTACATTCCATCTAGGGAACAAGGAAGCATGCCTTGCCGCTCTCATGTGAAAGACAAGGCAGAGTTCAAAGGTTCCCTGCGATTTTCTCCCAGCCGCATCAATGTATGAAAGCCATTGGAGATTGAGTGAGAGCGCTTAAGCCACATACACTCAAGACTTGAGTGGAGGAGCTGGCCACTGCCAGAACTCAAATAGAATATTTACAAAAGATCTCGGGGCCATTACCGTTTCAACCTTCGTGGGGGGTTTTACATTCAGATGGTTGGAGTTGGAAAGATATTGTGTTAAGGGATTAGGATGATGGATACGTTTTTTATGGAAATTTAAGAATCTTGGTGGAGTTACGTCGAGGACAAATGTGATGTTAAGATTATGAATTAAGATTTTGTTTGTGATGTAGTATTTCTATACTCATCACTCAATGTAGTAAATCAATACTCTTATTGACTATTGCTCGAAGGATTTTGAATTTAATGGATTAGATACGCTTGATATTCGAAGATTTAGCTGTCCCTCACAATTCAAGTACATACGTCCAAATGGGTTTTAGTATGGCGTTATAGATAAGTAATTTGTTTTCAATGAAAAGATACGAGTTTCTTTTCAGTAGTCCATATAGTTATCCAAACCGTCGGTTAAGCGCTTGTCTTTTGAGTCTGGTATGAAGGTTCCTTGTCAGTCTCTTGTCTAGAAGGAAGCCCAGCTACCGGATTGTGTCTGAGAAGAGAAGAGGTATAGAGTTAATTGGCGTACAGAATTTGCGTCATCTCAAATGTAAGCTATTATTTTTTCCACTCAAGTATCCAATTGTTTTAACAGTAAATAACAAGTGATGTAATTATCAAGTAATGGTCAATAATTAAAAATTAGGTTAATATTAAATACTCAAAATTTTTGTTTCATATATTGAAATTCGAATGCTTCGATATGTATGAATTTAGATATATATATGTGAATGATAGTTATTGATTACTTAATTTATAGATTCAACTCAGCGTTAAATTAGATTGGTTTTTCTGAAGTAAATAATATGTTGGGAAACAGCAGAAAGAATAGCTTAGTATGATTTAAAAGAATAACTTGTAGACTGGATTTGAAAAAAAAAAAATGCACATTATTAAAATATGATAATATTAGTATTTTATTTATAGCTCATCCTTAATTATATTTATTTCTTAATTATTTATAATAATTATTAAATTGTTAAGGAAAAAATTGCTGTTAGAATCAAATATTGAAAAGTATAATATTAAAAATAACTGTTGTTTTTCAATAACAGGGCTAAATTATTAAAAATTAATATCTTTCAATTAACGATAACCATGCCTTAGGAAAAATCTATTAAAAACATTAGACATATAATTGGATTGTGATAATAATAATAGTCCATTACTCCAGCCTAAATCTATGAACTTTTTATAATAAGAAAAGTTTTTAATGCAATGCAGGCAATAAAAAAACTAAAAAAAATAGTTTATGTTTACTAAACTGTAATATAAAATTTATTTTGCATATGTATATTTCTATTGATAAAATTTTACGAATATTTAGTTTAAATTAAAAACAAATAAATACTTATAAGTATTTGTATATAATTGGAAAGACGAGGAATCCATTTTATCAAACGAGTCTCCCTGATAAGGGCAGCTGACTTTTCACTAACAAGTCCTTCCTTCTAAAGAATCACTTCTTATTTTTCAAAGTGACGTCTAGAATTTTTTTTTTTCTTTTGCTTGCCATCATTCGATCTTATTTTCTTCACCTGTTCCATTAAAATCTAAAAATATTTAAAAATAAATTGAGTGTGAAAATCTGTATTTTAAAGGGAGAGCCTGTAAGTGACGTTCTTTTAATAAATAAAGAAGGAATTCAGTTGTTGCTTCAAGAAAATTAAACTTTATCCTGGTCCATTTTTTTTATATGTATAAATAGTTCTTCTAGTAATTGATTTTTTTTTTTTTAATTTGAAGAGGAAAACAATTAAAGCAATGATAAATGATTAATTATTCTTTCTGTAATTCGAGAAGGAAACAAAACACAGAGATTTTTTTCGTGCTTTAAAGAGATTAACACTACACACTAAATTTGAAAATAGTTATTAGAACTAAAATAGAAAAAAAAAATCATCAAATTTTTTTCTTTTCTTTATTCCATCAAAAATGTACCGTCATAACTTGTTATTAAGGGATGTTTAGATTTCATTTGAGAATCAGTTTCATCTTCAGAAACCAAAAGTATAACAAGCATGAAATGAGACAAAATAGAATAGCACCAAGACCTCAAGTTTTTACTTCTTCAAAAATTTTCTAAAAACTTCGGCACCAATTCTGAAGGGTTCATGATCAAGGGGTCTGAGAGCGCACTCTCTCCGTCTTGATCTGAAAAAAAAAAACCTATTTTCAAAGTGTTAGGATACTTCAAATTTCTATGTTGTTATTGTTTGGCATGGTTAAGTCATATATTCCTAAAGTTTAGGCTCAAACAAAAACATCAGTTTCAAAGATATTTAATAAATTATAAAGTAAAAACACTGTTGCTTCCACATTAATCATGCAAATTGTTATAAACCAGTAAATACATTTTAGGCGTTTTTGCTGAATTCGGAAAATAAATTTTTGTTCTGTAATTTTTGAAAATGACTCAAATAAGTTATTTCTGAATAAATTTTTAAAAACTCGTATTTTCATAGTTTAACTTATCACTCAACGGATCCGGAAATTTCCCATTTCCTTCAGAAAATAACTCGTGCCAACGATCGTCAATGTCTTTCTATAATTAAAATGTTTTCTGAACCTTCTTCTAAGATGAATACAAAAATCAGCTGTGATAATTTGAGATTTTGGTAATTAATTATCTGGCAAATTCAGTCATGAAAGTTATACCAAAAACGAGCTAGAAAAAATTTCCCATCTGCATCTAAATAAATTAATATATAATATAATTTACTTTTTCCGCCATAGAAAACTGGAGGAAAGGTATAGAAACAAAAAAAAACGAATAAAATGCGAAGGAAAATTTTGAAGAAAAATTCAAACGATTTTGTGACTGATTGACAAACACAAACAGATTGATACTGGGGTAATGTTTTCAGCTTCATTTTGTTTTAGGTTGATTTGCTCTTCTTCTCTTACCACTATGTCCTCTTTATTGTAATATAGGTAATCGATGTTTATAATTTATTCTTCAATAACCTTAAACTAGACCTGGGCAGAATTTATTTGAAAAATATTCCCGGAATAAATCCTTAAATAAACCTCGATAGTTATTTCCGAAATAATTTATTTCATAAAATAACCTGACCATTATTTCCGAAATGATTTTTTTTTTTTTTTTTTTTTGTCTATTAAATATGTATTTGCGCCTGTCAACAATAAGTTAACAATCAGCAAATGTGATGGCGGTAATGATAATATGACATGACAGGCATGGGGAAGGAAAGTACTCAGCAGTACCTCTTCCCTAACTTGTTCCAATTACTTAGGTTGTCTAAGGAAGGAGATCCCTCATCCAACGCCTTTTTAGTCTCCTGTTCATGTTCTGAGGTATGTCAGCTGTGGCCATGTCTCTTATAAGTCTGTTATTATGTCCGTTTAAATTTGTGTAAAATCGTTGATATAGGGTCGTTATATGTTGGTCAACTGTTGGAAGGTGGAGGTCAGTATGTAGAGTTTTGTTAGTCACGTACCAAGGTGCTTTTGTTATGAGTCGCAATAATTTTGATTGGAACGTTTGAAGTTTTTGTAGGTGGGTCTTTTTAGTGATGCCGTATATTTGTGATGAGTATGTCCATATGGGCTTAAGTAAGTATGTATATGTATTCAGTTTCTGTTTTAGTTTTAGTTTCGAAGATTTGGCAAAAAGAGAGTAAAGTAGTTTGAGTCGTTTGTTAAGTGTCATGCGTTTCATTTTAACATGTGGGCCCCATGTCATCCTTCTGTCGAAGGTGAGTCCAAGGTAAAGTACAGTGTCCGTTTGAGGAATTTGATTGTTGTCAATATAAACTGGAGGACAGGTGTTTTTTCGAAGAGTAAATGTTATATGTTTGGATTTGTCATGATTAAGTCGAATTTTCCATAGTGTGAACCAATCTTGTAGTTTAAGCAAATGATGTTGTAGAGTTAGTGAGGCCTGTGTAGGGTCTTGATGTTTTGTGAGGATTGATGATTGAGAAATGATTATTTCTGGAATAAATTATTTCAGGAATAATGATATAATTATTTCTGAAATGATTATTTCAGGAATAATGTTGTGAAATAATCATTCTGATCGAGTTCTCAGTTATAATCAATATCCGGGTCGACTGTTATGTTTTCGGGGGCGCTAATTATAAAAATAATGTGAAATTTGAGATTGAGCTCCTACCTACTCCCCTCCCTCCCAAATCGACTTTTAGTAACTTTTCGGATTTGATCGGATTAAAATTATTTCAAGAGTGTCTAGGTCTAGCTTAAACAATAAATTTTCACTTTTACAACATATTACACACAAAATATATTTTATTTATAATTTTTAAAAAATTAACAATAATAACGGTTGGTCTTACCAAAAAAGTTTTATTTTATATAATTACAAAATGCCCGACATGCTATAATAAATTCAGTTTTTCAAATATCTTGCTTAAATTGAAAGTTTCCCAGAGTTTTTGCCGTTGTTATGCCTTTTCCGACCACTGTGAGGAAAAGAAAGAAAATTGTGTCAAAAACCAAATGATAACGAGTTTTATGGAAGATATGGAATAAAATATCTTATAAATTAAAAATCGGACCTGCATACTGTAAGCGATGGAAGTGTTAAGCATTTCATCTTCTTTATAATGAGCTATTATTTATAATTTATATTTCATATTATTAATCTGACAATGTTGATATTTTCACTTCTATAGTGTGGTCTAAAGCACACACATTTTTTTTTTTTTTTTTTTTAGCACTTGTTGAAATGATCCCTAAGTTGAATTAATTGCTTCAGTGCCTAGATCATGGGTTCGTTCGTATGACTTCGGTGACGACGACGCCTGAGGCAATTTAATTATGCTCGGATCAACTGCTACAACAACAGAGCACATTTCACTAACCGGAAGAGTACACTCCTGCAAAGCCTAGTTTCCATGCTAAGGGTGTAATGAAGTGAAGAATCCCAGCGGATATAGCAGAAGCACTCTCCTATATTAAAGCAGCAAATCCTCTGGCAGGTGAGCCAACAACGAAGGATCTTTGAGCAACATGTGTCTATATAATGTCAGGTTATTTTATCCTTGGTCAGATCATGATACTATAATTTATCATTCGATATTTTCAACATTTAAATAAGAAAATAATACTTAATTTATTGCTAAAAATCAAACAAGAAAATTTAATTGGAAATCATTAGGCTTAGAAAAAAAATTAATAGAACCAAATAACGGAAATTCACCAACTAATTTTAACATTATGGTCAGGGATGGTTCCTAGAATTTATGGTATATATAATTCGTTTCTTCTCAATATTTTCAGATATCATTCTCCGCCTCAGATCATTTTCAGACATTATATTCTGACTTTCATCAGTTGTCTTGTTATTCATACTAACTATTATTTTATTAAACATTTATATTCAATCTTGTAGGTTAGGACTTCATATTAATAGAAATGATAAATAAACACATTTGAACACACATTCCTACTTTATTTTATTTTCTACACCAACGTTTCAGTCCCTTGGGCTATTTTGAAAGGAAGAAAACATTCAACAAATTTGAATTTTAAATTTTACAAATTAGAGTGCTACCAATGGGTAGTTTCTCAACAAGCGTGTTTCATGTTATTTTATTCCTCTGTACACATTTACTTGATGTATTCATACTAATACAGTTGTAAATATCATAATAAAAGTTTAAAAAAAAAATTTACAAAAGGATAAAAAATACAAGTAAGTGAAAAATTTTAGAAGCTTTGTATATTACAGATAACATAGACTATAAAGTTAATTTCAAAGCGGATTCGGGTGTAAAATTATGCAGAAATAAGTAAAATTAATATGTAAATGTACTGAAATGCAAAAAAATAATGAGATTAGTACTTGTTTATTTTATATTTTTAAGCATAATTTATGTTAAATTTTAAATATAAAAGTAATTTATTCAATTATAAACTTAATTTCAAGTATAGAATTTTAATTTTTTTAATAAAGTATGAATTAATAATAGGATTGAATAGACAGAACTACCATGATTAAAGTATACCAAGCTCTAATTGATGCGAAAATAGATTATGGTAATTTTGTCTACGGTTCTGCCCGGAAAAATGCTCCAGCCAAGCTCGACTCCGTGCACCACACTGGAATACGCCTTGAAACTGGAGCCTTTAGAACAAGCCCAACCCTCAGCATCTGTATCGTGTCTGGCCTTACATCACTGCACTTTAGAAGACAGAAACTAGCAATCAACTATATCACCTAGTTATACCCGCAAACTATACATCTCTCCCATAAATATCTTTTTCAATATAAATTTTTTAAAAAAATTAAAGGAAAAAGGAAAACCACATTACCATTGGCAGAAAGAATGTCCCTGATTATAAATAAATTAAAACAAATAAGATTAAATGAAATAGAAAAAGAAACACCTCATTGGATCTATAAAACTAAAAGAAAAGTTCCACAAAATAATCATCACATTACCTGAACATCGCCTAATATTCACTGACGGATCTAAATCAGATACAACTACTGCATCAGCCTTTGTCATCCCTGACACTACCTACAAATATAAATTACATCATCTTTGTAGTGTTTACACAGCAAAGATTAACGCCATAGCAATTAGTCTCCGATACGTTATGAAGAAGTCAGTTACAAATGTGGTTATGGTATTGGATTCCCTAAGTAACTTGAAAGCCATGAATAACATGTATCCAGACCATCCAGAAATACACTGCATTTTAAATCTTATAAAAATGCTTCATGGAGTTGGAAAAATTGCACATTTTTTCTGGTTGCCTGGCCATATAGGCATTAAAGGAAACGAAATGGCTGATAGACCAGCAAAAGAAGCTCTTACCCTTCCAGACGATATAGCTTTTTTGCCCTCATCTGAGCTTTCACGACATCTAAGAGAAGCCATATCCAAGAATGGCAAAGATGGTGGGACAACAGCGCACCTTTCAAATTAAAGAAAATAAATAAAGAGGTGCAACCAGTTCCAAGCGCAGCAGATCATATCCCCGGATGTCAAAAGTGTGACCAGTCATTAAACATAAATCAAATTTTGGAAGAGTGCCCTCTTTACACCGAAAGATTAAAATATCTTGGAATACCCCAGAATATATCATCATCCCTGGGAAATCAAGAAGAAATCCTTACCAAAGTTATTAAGTTCCTAGACAATGAAAAAATTATAAAACATATATAACAAGTTCATAACCAATGATCCTTCCCAGATTTATTCATTATTTTATTTAATTTTTAAAGTTCATTGATTTATTAATTTCAATTAATTTCTTAATTTTATTTTTTTATGTTTTTTTTTTCATTTCTATCCCTTTTTTATTCTATTAATTATTTTATTTTTTATTTTTACCAACCACCATTAAGAAAATAGTTTTATTTAGTTGATCGGGCGCTGATGACCTGGATGTTTTGCACCTAGACATCCGAACAAACAGTTATAGGATTATGATTAAAATGTTTAATTAAAAATGTTTAATTAAAATTTTAATATTATATTTAGGTAAAGTTCTACCAATGGGTAGATTCTCTACAAACCTTGTCATGTCATGTGTTTATCTATACAATATTTGCTGAATGTATATATTTATATATATATATATATACATTTATATATATATATATATATATATATATATATATATATATATATATATATATATATATATATATATATATATATAAATGTATATAAATGTACAGTTGTAAATTTTATAAATAAATAAAACAAAAAACAAAATTTATGAACTGGTTTAAGAATACATAAAGATATTTTAATAATGTAAATTTTAATTCTAAAAAATGTTAGTTTGAAATGTTAAGAGGTTTAAAATAAACACAGGGTAAATGGACAAGTAGCGGATAACATGCTTTAGGAAATTTCTTTGAAAAAAGTTCAAGTTATTTTTATTTTATTCGTAAAAGACGTATAAAACTAAAATATTGATGTTATTATATTTTTCACTGATTAATCTTATAGAATTATTTCTCGCCTTTCCAATGTATATTTCAAAATTGAAAATTAAGAGAATAGTTTTGTTGTACCAGAAGCTGACACTGTTTGATTTGGAATGTTCCTATAGCTGACAGGAATGAGAAAAAGGATGAAATTAATCTAAATTTCTTATTCTTCGTTTTATTTTAATAAAAATTATCTGCAACTTATTATAAAACTAGGCGTCTGAAAAGAAGATTGCCTCGGGACCTTCTAATGTAGAACTTTAATTTGAATGCTACCAATGGGTAGTTTCTCTTCATGTTGCACATGCCATGTTACCAATTTCACATTTACTTGTTGTATTTTCCATTTAATATAGTTGTGAATTTCATTAAAATAAAAAAAAAAGAAAATTACCAATAAATGCTGATCACTGTCAAGAACCTGTTTTTGGCAATAGGAAAACCTATTTTTGCTTTATATTTATTCCAAATCATTAGCATTTTTTTTTTTTTACGAGACAATAGTGAATATTCCCATTTTTTTATATTGAGTATATTTTTTTTTTTGTATTTATGAGAGTACAGGCCTGTCGAATACTGGCAAAATTCCTCAGTATAAATCACAGTAGCTGACAACCATTAAATACCCAATCTCTTCACAAAAATAAGTGAAAATAAGATAAAACATTATTTAGAAACATTCCGAAAGACAATCAAACAAAAATTTGGATTAAATCAGATTAGTTAAAGAGAAAAAGGCAAACCTAAGATGCTTTTACTGACTGATAGTTGTTCCTGAGACAGTATGTGGACGGTGAGGGACCTTCCTAATTTGCCACTCAACATTTAACTTGCGATTTCTGGAAAGATTAAAGCAAAGGAAACAAATATAAAAGGAGAAAATATAGAAACTAAGAATATATGAATTTTAGATCTAGGCGTTCCTGAAATTTTATTATTTCTATTTTTCGAGGGGGGTGTCAGGTACACTGTCAGCTATTGGTGCATTTACCCTAATCTTATTAGGAAGTAATAAGTATTGAGTCAATACTTATTACTAATTAAATTATGTTTGGCAAGGGGAATTAATTCCACGTTTATGTTAATTGTTAAAGTATAAATCATTATTGAGCAATTATAATTCGGCTGTGATGAATATTTTATTTTTTGAAGGTTTTCTTTCCTTGAAAAACTTGGTGTAGAAAATAAAATAAAGGACTATGTGATCGAATGTGAGTATTTATTATTGGTTGTTAATATTTAACTTTTCAGAGCCCCAGAGTGAAAAAAATTAATAAATAATTATTTGTCTATTCTTGATTGTTCCTTAAATTTTCTATACTAATCTTTCAAACTGGACCTGTATTAATAATATGTAAGCTTAGGAAATTTTATACAATGATTTTAACACTACATATTTGTTTTGTTCTGTAACATATTGTTCCCATCCTCGTCAACTTTGCTATAGTTTCTCAAAAAAATCTTATTCTAAACATTTATCTAATGTTTCCAGATTCGTATTTAAAAGGTGATTAAATTTTCAATAAAGCCTAACTTTAAAGTAATGATGATTTTTAATTTTATAATCAGAGTTTTGCGCATGCGTTAGCCCTAGTTAAACATACGTCAGTTCGTCTCTTATAAAAATCTCATTTATCAGTGGCAGTATACAAGTGTAATGTGAACAATTAGTGTTATCAGTTACATTATTAATTATGTTTGATACTGGAAAAAATAATAAGGTGAGTAATCACTTATTTACAACACAAGAGTGAACAGTGTAAATAGACCTTAGGATAGCTAGATAAGGGCCAGCCATAAGCTGCACCAGTCGTTAATCCTACTAGTGGGCTAGATCCTTCCGTCGGAGGCAGATCTGTGCTCTCCAAGAGCGCGTCTATATTTTCGTGTTCAATAAAAAAAATGTTTTTTCCTCGCTTCACTTTTATCAATTTTTCTTTTAAAAATTAATATGAAATGCGATATTATCACATGCTAATGTCGAGTAGGGGCAAAAAGACCAGGTCCAGGAGTCTCGATACTACAATGAGTTCTCCCATTAAAAAACGACAAGGCATTCAAAAAGAAACACTCCACAAGCCACACCAGGGAGCTCCTTAGAAGAAGTGGAACCCCAACCTGGCTCCTCACAACAACCCAACAATTAAGAGACAACTCAAGCTATGGGTGAAGAATCGCCATTTTTACTTCGAATCCATTTCAAGTGCTTTCAATTACACATAACGAACAAATGGAAGCAGCATCCACCCCCAGAGAACCCAAACCCCCACCAATATTTGTTAGAAATATTAAAAATGTTCAATTGAATAATCTGGTAGGTTCAGGAAAATATTTATGCCAAAGCCGCACCAATGACACTAAGTTAATGCCCGACACTCCAGAAACCTATAGAAAAATCATAAAATATTTATCTGACACCAAGGCTGATTACCACACGTATCAACTGCGTCAAGAGAGGGCGCTCAGGGTCGTTATCAGAAGACTGCACCCATCTACGCCAACAGATGCTATAAAAGAAGAGCTCATGGGTATGGGATTCCATGTTCGCCAGATAGTGAACATATTCAAGGAGGATAGAGAACAGCCTGGAATAAAAAATAAAATACCTCTTCCACTATTCTTCGTTGACCTTGACAGAACACCCGATGTCGAAAACATCTACAAGGTCACACGCCTTTATTATACAAGCGTTGTTGTAGAAAAGCCCTACAGCAAGCGCGACATCGTTCAATGCTATAACTGCCAGGCTTATGGCCATACGAAACGGTATTGTCATCACATTCCTAGATGTGTGAGGTGTGGTGAGCAACACAAAACAGAGGACTATAGGAAGTCTAGAACTTCACCTGCAGGATGCTCTTTATGCCACCTAGGACACCCAGCCAACTACAAGGGTTGTCAAACTTACAAAGATTTGAAAACACGAATGTACGCAACGCCTAGAGAAGAAGGGACATCCAGGCCACCAAGACAACCCTATAGAACAGTGAACGGAAGAGTGTCCTATGCTCAGATGTTCAAAGGAGACACTGTAAACACTCAATCTCAGGCCCTGCCACAAGAATCTAAACCTCAAGAATTCACACATCAACCTCAAGACCCATATCCCTCCATCCCTGAACGTAGGTTAAATACCCATACATTCATTCCTCCTCCTTCCAATTCCACTGACCTCACAAGCCTATTGACATCTTTCCTTTCCGAATTTAGATCTCTCATTACCCCCCTTATTTCGCTACTTACCAATGTTATATCCAACCTCATTCCACTGCCAAGAAATCCATAAATGTCCTCAACCAAATTCCTCTCCATTCTCCTCTGGAATGCGAATGGTATTCGGAACCACATCAACGAACTGACAATCTTATTACATGACAAAAACATCGACATAGCACTAATAACTGAAACTCGACTAACCAACAAACGACAAATCAACGTGCCCGGCTACAATATTTATCGAACCGACCATCCTGATGGAACAGCACATGGTGGCACTGCCATAATTATCCATCGATCCGTTTCCCATCATTTGTTTCCCTTACCAAGCCATAATTTCCTACA